GGGGGGGGGGGGGTCTCGACCTGATCTCGTCGGAGGCGCTGCTGTCGTCAGCGCTGGTCCAAAAGTCGGCGCAGCTCTCCTGCAGGCCAGACTCCAGGAAGCTTCCCGTGGACTTGAGCAGCATTCCTGCAATGTCGCTGGGGGACATGAACACAGGTAAGCCGGAGAAGAGAAACTGTCCTCACAGGTGCTAATTCTTGAACGAGAAATTGAAAGGCTCAGCTACTGGACGAAAAATATTTTTATGAACTAAAAATAAAAACTTCAATGACAGTGAGAATAGTTCCTTTTAATGTAAATCCTCACTAGGGTGAGATATTCTTGATTACAGCATGTATCTATCTTTGCTGTATTACTACAGCTTTCGGTTATCACCGTAACATCTTCCATCATCCATAGTAGCTATGGAACTACGTCAGATTCAAAAACGGGATAAAGCGGCCTCAAGTCTCCATGCGTGAGGTGTTTTTTAAAGGCTTACTAAACTAAATGAGAGCACACACAAAAACGTGAACTCCTTATATGCAGCTATTTTTAATTTCTTTGCTCACAAGGAGCTTTTTATTAGCCACTAACCTAAAAGAACCAATAACCTAACTGCACGGCAGACGCTTCTTGCCGCGTCCACCACCGACAGGCCAGGGCTACAATGCAAGCCCAGCTGTGCCCGCAAGTCTGACGAGCACAGCAGAAGTCCACGGCCGTGCCCTGGCCGCCACATGGCTCAAGGAGCCTGCGGTCCCAGAAGAGGGCAGCTGCCAGATAGCCAGGCGGCCACAGCGGGTGGGAGCGGCAGAGGGGGAGCAAGCCCAGCCTGGCTGGGTGTCCGGCAGCGCCCCCACCAGGCCGTCTGCGCTCAGCAAGCCGACCGCAGAAGTGGGGTCTGGGGGGAAGAGCACGGAGAGGAGGGCGGAGGGTTGAGGGAGCCGGAGACCGTGAGGCTGCGTGAGCAGGAGCCTTGTCTGTGGAGAGAACTGTCCACTCTAGAAGGAGCCGGAGGCTGCTGGAACAGGAGCAGGACTGTGGACTGCGCACGCGGGGAGCAGTCCCGATGTCAGGAGCAGAGGGTGGGCTGGGGGCCTACCACGTGGGCAGGCCTGCCAGAAACAGGCTCTTAAGAACGGCAGGAGACAGGGACAGCCGGGGTGGGCTCAGGCCACGAGCAGCCGTGACAAACCAGATAGAGCCCTCCGGTCCGAGGGAAGAAAACAATAAGCTGGAGGGGAAACTGTGTTTCAGACAATGGCACGTGCTATTCAGAGAAATAAAACAGGGGAGAAACCTAAGGAGACTTGAAGCTAAGAATCTGAATTGTCAATACAGAGTGTGGGGCCAGCGAGGAGGGGAGTCACCAGAGACAGAAGCAGCGCAGCCAGAGCAGGGCCAGCGAGACACAGGGCCTGGGCAGGGCGCCGTGTGCGTGAGGCCAGGCAGCCACGAGGCCAGCGAGAGCGAAGGAGGCGCCGCAGCGGGGACAAAGACCTGACGAGCAGGCAGAGCCGGTGGGCGCAGGCCCGCTGAGAGGAAGGCGGGCGAGCGGTGGGTGTCTGCAGCAGAGGGGACGGCGGGCTGAAGCACACCCTCAGGGGCGCTCTGGCTGCCCGGTGGCTGAAAGGCACCACGGGCGGAAGCAGAGTCCCCAGTCAGAGCAAGTGCTGCAGCAAGAATGAAGCAGCCAGGGAGCACCAACGTGCAGGGGCGCAGGTCCAGTTCTGGGTGCACCCCGAGGAGACAGCTCGATGGGCTGGGGGTGCGCAGGGGCCCAGCGCCATGGGGCGCAGGCCGAGGAGAGGCCGCCCGCGGGCTCAGGAGGCATGCGGCTGCTGGAGAAGCCCAGAGCTGAAGGAAGCAGACTGAGGCCCGGCAGGGGAGCGAGGCGGGGTGTGCTGTGTGGGAGAGTTCCGGGGACCCTGGACAGCCGGCGGGGAGAAGGGCCGACAGACGCGGCGTGGGCAGGCACAGCGAGGCCAGCCGCGGGCAGAGGGGGGGCAAAGGAGACACGAGGGGCTGGCGCAGAGCAGAAAGGGACCACAGGGTCCGGGACCGGCACGC